TTTGTCCACTCATAATTCTCCTCTATCTATTTCTTCATCAAAGTTCACATAGGAATACACAGACTTTCCATTTCTCTGGACTTTCATTTCTGAAGGCTCCCATAATATGAAACACATTTGTTTGTTTTCTCATTAATTGGTCTTTTATTAAATGTGCTTCAGCCATGAATTTAACAATGACTAAAAAAGTCTTCCAATGGTAATAAAGTGTACTAAAAAAAGTAACTTTCAAACTCTTAATGGGGAGATGAGCAGGAGTCTCCCCATCCTGCCCCCTGTCGTTGCCCACACATGAGTATAAAAGCCCCTCAGAACTTGAACAAGGGGTCTGACTTGTTTGATTCACAGTGTCAATCCCGCTAGTGTCAAATTAAACTCCCTCTCCTCACCTGAAAAAAAAGTCACTTTGACCTCCCCCCTCTCACAGGAGCCTAGAATGAAATACACCATTTCAAATATTCTATCTCCTTCCTTTGCATAAGGATAGCGTTACAAGTTAAGTGAAGCTATGGAACCGGGGAGAAAATAAAGCACCATTGTGGATGAGAGGCAGATGAATATGTCTGGATGGCATTATGCTGAGCAAAATAAGTCTTGCACAAAAAGACAATAATCACATGGTCCCACTCAGAAGTGGAAACTAAAAAGTTGATCTCTCAGAAGTTGAGAGTGGAATACTGGTTATCCCACAAGCTGAGAAGGGTTGGAGGGAGGAAGGGCGGCAAAGAGGCTGCTTAACTGGCACAAAAATACAGTTAGGAGTAAGTCATAGTGTTCCATAGTACAGTAGGGTGACTATAGTTAATAATAATTTATTCTATGTTTCCAAATAGATAGCGGCTGGAGGGATAGAAAGGAGTGTCTTGGGCCAGTAACATGGCTCAGCAGGTGAAGGTGCTTGTCACCAAGCCTAATGAACTGAGTTTGATCTCCAGAACTGATATGGTGGTAAATTATCCTCTGTCCTACACACGCACACACATAGATACACACACACACACACACACACACACACACACACAATGTGGCAAGCAGGGGCACAGGCATCTACAAAGACAGATTATTGAGGTGATGGCTATGCTAATTACCTTGATTTGATAGCTGGACATTATGGGCATATGTTGAAATATCAGTGTAGCCTATGAATATGCATAATTGTGTTAATTTAAACATAGACAATTGGGTTGCAAGTCTTGTTTCCTGATGCTCAACTAGTGAAACAACATGCCTTGCTTCATGTATGCACAAAGTCAAGACTTCTGGAACTTATAGAAGGAAAAGGTGCTAAGATGACCAGTATGACTTGATGCCTGGAGTGCAGTCAGAGGCAATGCCTACTTAATTTTCAGGCCTTGTAATACTTCGGAGCACGATTTCTTTTCCTGCCATAGCTTCTGGTTCATAAATAAAGGCACCATGTGGAATCATGGTTCGTGGAAAACAAAAAGGTTTTAAATTCCTAGTCTTTTGATAGAGACACCAACATATCCAATAAATTCACTTTAACTAACCATATTTAAGGGTGGCAGCATTCTTGACTAGGTACATTACTCAGTGAAAGGAAATTGGATTGCACTTCTTATTTAAGAGTTTAAAACTCCTGAGCAGGCTACTGATTTCTAAAATACCACCTGAGAACCTGGTTTAGCAAGTGTAGCCGAACAATAAGGCCCAGGTCTTGCCTTGGCCTGATGTTTTTCAAGTGGGAAACTGAAAGGACTTTTTAATGTGAATGCCACATCTCTTTATAAATTATATTTTTAAGTGTCTACTTCTCAAAATAAGCTCATTGTATTCACCTCTAGATCTGAGTGTGGGGTGAAAGATGTGTGGAAGGGACCCTCAATGGGAAGGGGCATGCCTTTGACAAATCTTTTGTATATAAGAAGAATCGACTTCATAGTAGATTTGTGCAAGAAAATGCAGCCTGTCTGATAAGATGTGGCACATCTAAGATGGGAGTTGGGTGTGTTGGCAAGACTCCATTGTTAGCTTTTTACCCCCACACAGTGCCTTGGGAAATCTGCTCAATAATGCCACATTGAGTAGCTTGGCAAGAAAGTTCAGATTGTCAACCGACTGCATTCTTCTTTGTCTTTAACCTTCTTATTTTGCCTTAGCTACACCTCCCTCCATTAGATTGGATGGAGTCAGGCAAGTACTTGAAGGTCTTGCTTTGGCCAGTAAGAATTCACTGATAGAAAGGGCTGACTTTCCATTGGGAAGGGTAATTTTACAGCAATATTTTGGAAGCAGATAACTTAGTGAAAGATTTTAGTTTCGTACCGGATTTACAATAGGTGTAGGTCAAGGGAATGTGGCCTGTGTGCCTGATGTGCTAAGAATGCTTTAACTTTTTATTTATTGTTATTTTATGTGCATGTGTATGGGTGTTTTGCCTGCTTGTATCTAAGTATAGCCATGTCATGCAGTGCCTGCAGAGACTAGAAGAGGGCATCAGATCCCCTGAAATGGGAGTTTTGAATAATTGGTAGCCACCATATAGGTCCTGGGACCCGAACCCTGGTCTTCTATAAGAACAGTCAGTGCTCTTAACTGCTGAGCCATCTCTCCAGCCCTGTTAAGAATACTTTGAACTAAGTAAAATACCCTCTCATATTGATCTATGCTTGTGTCATAATATATAGATACTTATGAAACAAGAATATCAAACTTTTATTATGAAATTTATCTGCACTTTAACAAAAATGATCGGGGCTTGAAAGATGGCTCAGTGGTTAAGAGCACTGGCTGTTCTTGCAGATGACCCAGTTATATTCCCAGTATCTACATGGTGGCTAACAATTATCTAACTCTAGTTCCAAAGGATCTGATACCTTCTTTCTGGATTCCCTGGGCATTTCACACACAGTTAGACATATATATGCAGACAGACACTCATACACATAAAATACAAATAGATAAATCTTAAAATAATAATGAAAAATGTATTTGTCTATAGACATAAAGTTACAAGTCGCAGTCTGCCAGTTATTTGTATCCATGTTATATGCTTTGGGAGTAAATGGAACTTGAATCACCAGTACCACTAGGCAGCCCCTGGCTTAAAGCACACTACAGACTTCTCCCAGGTCAGGACATTCAGAAAGGGCAGGTTCTTACTTAAAGTTAGTATTATCCCATGTCAAATAGCATGGCATAAACAAACATGAAAATGTCAGAATCTTGCGTCCCAAAGCTAGATAAAATATTTTTAAGGGGCTACTGCTCTTTTTTCATTCATATTAGAATAAATTATTGAGAATAACTAGTTTGAACATCAAATGATAGGTGTGGTTTCATTTCTCATAAGTGGAAGTAATTCTGCTATTGATTCCAAAATCTTTCTAATTCAAGAATTTACATGGAAAGTCTTCCAAAGCTACTCAAACTAAACAGCATTTATACCTCTCTGTAAATATAGATAATTTATTAAGTGCTATCTGGTCATCTTGAATAATCCAGAAGCCAGATTGCTAGAGTCAATGGTTTAGTGATAGTCTATTATTGGGACATGATATAATAGGAAATTCCTTTAACATAAATTAATTTGTCTAGCAGTATATAAAATCTACTCTAAATTGTGTGAAGGTACAGAAGCTACAAATAAGGCCAGACATGATAATGTATACTTTTAATCCCTGCATTTGGCAGGCAGAAGCAGGCAGATGTCTGTGGGTTTGAGGCCAACCTGGTCTACGTAGTGAGTTCCATGCCAGCCAGGGCTACAAAATGGAACCCATCTCAAAAAGAAAAAGGAAGGAAGGAAGGAAGGAAGGAAGGGAGGGAGGGAGGGAGGGAGGGAGGGAGGGTGAGAGGGAGCAAATACAGAGCTCTTGTCCTCACAAGATGTTTCTAATAATTTCCTAAACTTTGTAATCTATATATTCACCTGAGCTATGTTAGTTGGTAGTGTTATGGGCACTGGTACATTTTGTTTCCAATACAGAATGTAAGCAAATGAAAAGCAAGTATCATGTTCCAGGGAGGCATTATTGCATAAGGTTCATAATCAGACAAATGGGTTTCAAAGTTGGTCGAGGGGATCCACTGCCTATTTGCTTTAGACAAGTTTCCTAAACTCCATGAGCCTCAATTTATTCATCTATAAATTTGGGGTGATAATATTTAACATAGTGTGTGGAACAGGGAAATATATAAGGAAAGTTAATATTTACAATTATGTACATGGAGGTTGACTTATGGTTTTGTCTATAAATTATTTAACCACAGAAATGAATCAGAAAAGAATAAAGTAAGCAAGCTGGTATCATTAAAAAAGTGTGACAGGGGTAACCAATAAAGATTTTTGAATGAATGAATGAGACATAGTGGAAAGGATGGAGGAAGGAAGTCTGGCTGTCTTTAATATTCTCAAACCTGAAATTATTTAGTGATACAGAGTCATAGCTGATGACACTGGCTATTAATGGGTTGATTTGCCTACTTCCCTTGGACATCTTTAGAAAACCAGATGTACAACTATACTGACATTTTTCAGAATGCCTTACCTTGAATCTGATAAGGAACTACTCATAAGACTGGGGTGACTCTGTGCATGGAAGGCTGCTCTTCTAGCAAGAGGCTGCTCAACACCCCTCTTACCATTTCATCTCCTATATCAGATTGTCTCAAACTTTCCAAGTGCCTTTTGTGAATTTCTGCATACATATAAACACCAAGTGCCATTGAAAGATGTCAGTACGATGAGGCCTGTGTAGAGGGTCCTCTACATACTTGACTATGCTTTTTTCATCTTAAGAAGTCTCTGAGTAGACTGTGCTCAGAATGGGATTCTCTTCATCCACCCTCTACCTTCTTTTCCACTAGTGATTTATTTGCCTTAAATCTTTATTAGCTTTTTGATTGTATTAATAACTTTGTTCTGTTCTTTAAAGGAAATCGAGGGAGGAAATTGAAGTACATTTCAGAATGTGTTTTTACTATCCTATCTGTAAAAGTGTACTATGGTACTATATTATATTTCGTTTCTTTTTCAGATTGGCAAGTTATGTGCCCACTCTCAACAACGTCAGTATAGATCTGCTTATTATCCTGAAGACCTGTTTATTGACAAGAAGGTCTTAAAAGTTGCCCATGTAGAACATGAAGAAACCTTATCCAGCCGAAGACGGTGAGAGAATTTTTGTCCATTTCAACATACAGTTAGCAAGTGTGTTTTCAGGTCAAAACCCAATGGAACGAAGTACCTTAAGTGCATGTTATTTAGTTCTTCTAAGTAGAGTGCTTAATTAAAGTCTATCATTTGTCTTTTAAATAA